TTGCCACAAAATTAATGAGTAGCAACAAGTGCCTGTTCGCTTGAACTTATCAGCCGGTTTATCAGCTAGAATCTACAGTATTTTTCTCTCACAACAAAACAACTTTAGTCGGCTTATCAGCCGGCTTTAATACCAGCCGAACAGGCGTTGTCACCAAAATCAAATGCCCACCGCTCCCATAGGAGCCCATGGTATTTGAAGTTTGAATCCAGTTAAGTTTCAATTGTTAGTGATCAGTGGAGAGGTGCATCGTGTATGTTATCTGTAAGGCCTTGTTTGGATACCCATGTATTCACCGCCATCCATGTGTGTCGGGGTGGGTTGGTGTCGAATTTAATTCAAATTCTACACAAACACAACTCAATTCACATGGATTGAGGTGGATACTTGGGCATAAATTCTACACCAACCCATCCCAACACACATGGATTGAAGTGGATACATCGACATCCAAACAAGGCCTAAACCACATATATATTAGGGTTATCATATGTCATTGAAAAGGCATTGCTGCAGGTATGCTCCATTCTATGGGCCTATTTGGTAAAGATTAACCATTGGAAAAAGTAAACCTTGATCTGGATTCACCATGGATCAGCTCTAACGTGGATCTGATATCCACCCTAGATCTACCAGGGAACTGTTTAGCTAAACATGCAGCTCCAGATCCACACAAGGGCATTTTGTGGGAATGACCAGATTTTCCCTTGGGGATAGGCCCCACGTGTCAATGTCTGAAAAAATGAAAAAAAAAATCCTTCTCAGGCGTGGGGGTGTGGCCGGCGCAGGGCATGCGCTCGTGGCCAGGGCAGGATGGGCGGCCACCACCCGGCCTCGACCTATTGGTCATCGTGACTTGGTAGCCAGCCGGGGCAGGATGGGAGATGGCCGGGGCGGGCTGGGCCGCCGCCACTGCCTCCTGGGGAGCCTTCTAACGCAGGCGTGGGAGCGCATCCAGCACAAGGTGTGGCGCTCGCGGCAAGAGCAGGAAACCTCATCACAGTGGCCATGGTAACTTGGTGACCGGCCAGGGTTGTCTGGGTGCCAGCCGGGGCGGGCTGGTGGCTGACCGGGGGAGGCTAGGTCGCTGCTGCCTGGGAGCTCGATGCAGATGGGGGAAACAAAGAGGAAAGGGGTGGAGGATAGCTAGATCCACCCATTCCGACAGTCCCTTGGTCGCCGAAGTAGCAGGATTTGGTGGAGTCGGAGATTGCTACAAGGGCGCCATGGTTACTGGAGAAGAGCCGAGGAGAAGAAGAGCGCTCGACAGAAAGAGACGTGGATAGAAACGATCCAGTACGGAGGAAATGGTGTGGAATAAGTGGCATGGTGGGTAATTTTCTCCAAGTCCACCAAACCGAGCACCCCTTGAGGAGCTCTACCAAAATGGTGAATCTGGCCCCCGGATCGACCGTTTTGTTGAATCCAGATTTGGTGGATCTAGAGCGTTTGGGTAATTTATGGTGGAGTGGAGGTATTTTTGGTGAATCTAGAGCTGGTGAATCTCTACCAACTTGGCTGTATCTACTTTCGACACCATTTGACACCTTCATTTTATGCCTCTCCTTCATGATAGATTTCACTATACATATCTATACGTCGGCTGTTCATCTCAATCAAAGCAAATAACAGATATCTAATAAATAAACAAAGACATAAGGAGATGCCATGTAGGGGCATCCGAGTGTATGAAAATTGGAGGTTATAGACCAGCTTATGATCAACCTTATACATTTGGTCGACTGTAATAATAAGGTCGTAAGAAAAAAAAGGCTTAAGGCTAATCCTCAAGCCCAAGGCCTACAAACAAAAATACAATATCTTTCTTTGAATCATGTAGTTGTGTGCCCCTCTCCTACAATCCAACTACAAATGACTACCCCAACCACAGCAGCCAGCGACCATATCATGTGTCCATTTTCTAGTTGTTGAACTCCCCTGTTCCCTAGTCATCGAGCTATTCTTCATATTTCACCTGCATATGGAATAGTGAAGAGAGAGAGAGAGAGAGAGAGAGAGAGAGAGAGAGAGAGAGAGAGAGAGAGAGAGTTAGAACAACTATTCTCAAAAGTATCCTTCAGGAAGCAAAAGTTTCACTAGAATGATGCAAGACGATTCATGTAAAAAATTAGAAAATCCAAACATTCAGCATGCCCCGAACCACCGACCAACGGAAATTCTAGCACATTTGTCCAATTCCGTTTGGCCAAACCATCCCACTATCCCAATTTCACCCCAGCATCCCATCATCCTCGTATTCTGAAAGCATCCGACCATCTCAGTTCATGCTAAACATCAATCCATTTAGACGTTTAGTATGCCAAACAACTTCTAGCACTATGTTGTGATTGACCACATTTTTAGGCATGAAGATTGTAAAAACAAGTTTGTATAATTACATGGGTGATTAACACTTCAGTCGTAGACTTATTTGCTATCTAGAGAAAGAAGAAATGAAGAAAGTTAGCAATGAGGCTATGGTTCAATGTTTCATGACCATGGAAGGAAAAAGGCATAAATATGATCTCTAAGAGGTAATGAAATGCATCTACTTTCAATTGATAATTCTACATTTTCTTTGCTAAATAGTTGACCTATTTGTTCTCTTTCTTTGGGCTGGATCACATTATTTGCTATATGGGACATCTTTTGTTCATCATTTTGGCATTCTTTCAATCACTACACTACATTGATCAATGAAGTCTTTATTTTTTTATAAATGGTTAGTGTAATTGTGTTGCCCTTACCAGTTTGCTTATGTGGGTCACTGCATTCATGATGAAGTTGTGCACCACCACCCATTTGCTCTAGCTTCGCCCCTGCGTTTAGTATTCCAAGCAACTTCTAGCACTATGTTGTGATTCAGCACATTTTCAGGGTCACCAACATCAAGGAAGGTCTTTGCACTCATGATGCAAATAAGCATGTCACATTTTAACATAAATCACATTCTTCATTATCTAGAATCTCCAATCCACAGGGGCATATTTGCAGACAAATGATACAGTGACAAAAAGCCATGCAATCAATACAATTTCATAATCAGACATACAATACAAAAAGGCGTGGATGACATACTATTAGGACATTTTGCTACATGTAGCTCTTGACAATTGCATCAAAGGCACATGGTACAGAAGGAATGAAAATACATTACAGTGCAAGATAACCAACAACAATTAAAAATAACCTAAGACCAGATAGAATTCAATAATAGTGAAGCTTCTGTTTCATGGATCATGCAACCCAAGCATTTAGGGCTTCTTTTTCACTCTATAGGGCGGCCTGCACGCTGCACTACCGGTCACTATCCAGTTCCAAGGACTAAAGAGTGAGGTGGACATTGCCATCACCAATGCAAAACTCTCATCTCCCTCTCTCTATCTCTCTCTATCACCTGTCATCCGTCTAACCACCGGCTTCTTCCTGTTTTTTGTTTCTCATGTTTCTTTCTTAACTTTATTTTCCATCTATCGATAATATCTTTTTTCAAGATATAAAAACACAAAAAACATCTTTTCTATGGAATATTTTACAAACTCGATTATTTTTACTTATTGCTAGAGATGAAGGGTAGAACAATGCACAATGGCACAAATTATATATGATTTCACTAGCAAAATAGTGACTCCCTTAGGTTGGACATGAAGAGTACAAAACATGCGCTACATTACCACTTGAATCAACTTTCCATCGGTTGGGTGGGGCCGGGGGGTGTGGAGGGGACAACTTTCTGTCCATTTTTTCTCATATGTTTTTCTTAATTTTGACATGAATCAACAAATTTTAAAATTCATTCGCCTTTCCTTCATTCTACAAGGACTAAGGTGGATGGTTTCCTAGCATCCACCGTGTAGATAGGCTACAAAATATCTTTTATTACACTACTATAAAATATTGATCAAAATTGGCAAGCACTTATTGTTGTAGATTTTTGAAATAAAAACAATGAGCAAATAATATGCCACCTCATATGGCTTGTCTGTTGTGCCAACAAAAATTGTGAATGACTAACCCAACTTTTGTTACAAAATTAATGACTACCAACAGGCAAATCTCATCACTAAAATCAAATGCCCACTGCTCCTGTAGTAGCCACCGGTTTTTGAATGCAGTCAAGTTTCAATTGTCAGTTACCAATGGAGAGGTCCGCCATATGTTACCATTCATAAAACCATATTCTTCAAGGATGCCATACCACAACACAAAATGTTACATGACAAAGCAACAGTGTGGAGGTGAACAGATGGGGCTGAAGGAAAGTTTAAAGGTAGCTGATTGGAAGGAGAACCAATGAAGGTTGCTGCAAGCAGTAGTGGTGACATGGAAACCAATGAGGCGTATGCAATTAGAGCACGAGGATTGAATGGCAGTAAATTTGGTAGCAGGCAGGGACGAAAGATACGTGGGTGTTCCAAGGCTAGATGGTAGACAGGGCAGCAGCCGAGAGAATTTTTACATCAAATGAATTCATGTGCACAAATTCAGCACGCAATCATAGATCACCGAGCTAGGTGTAGGTGTCGGGCTTTCGTGGCCAAAACGCACAAAATCACCAATCATGGATCACCGAGGTGTATAGGTGTCGACCTTTCGTGGCCAAGACCATTGTTCTGAGTCTATCAATTCCAAAATGGTCACCAATCATGACACGAAAGGGGAAACTAAACAACAAACTAACTAGTAGACAAAAAAAACTCGTGCTGAACTTGACAACCTAGATATTTTTGTAGTAGCTATCCATAGTTCATATTGTTGTACGTGCATGTGCGCCAGTTATTTTAAGAACAAAGCATTTATCCATGGCGGCTCTTCACTTGTTGCACGTAGTGTTCCAGTTCATGCTGGTGGCCACTACGACGCAACTAGTATCACAACGGCCACTTTGGTTCGTCGTCGTGCCTCACATGCTAGTGCTGCTGCCAGTCATCTGCTGACGCCTCCACCAACGCCCCAACGCCAGCGACAACGAAACGAAGCAGTCGAATCCTCTCCTGCCGTCACCTCCAGGGAGGCTGCCGGTCGTCGGCCACCTGCAACGCATCGGCGATCTCCCACACGTCTGCCTCTGTGACCTCGCTGCCAAGCACGACCGTGGCGGCGGCCTCATGCTCCTTCAACTCGGCAGCGTCCCCAACCTCGTCGCTTCCTCCCCGCGTGTGGCGCAGGCGGTCCTGCACACGCTTGACCACGTCTTCGCCTCGCGGCCGACGTCCAAGGTCCTGCACAACCCCTGTACAGGCGGTCGACAATCGGTTTTGGTCCTTACGGCGATTACTGGTGGAAAGTAAAAAGCAACAAGGAACCCTCCAGCAAGTACAATCATCATGAATGCATACACCAGAAAAAATCAATCAATCTTAGTAAAGGGATAGAGTGAGCAAAGAGAACCTTGACGGCACTACCATACCGTCGTTGCGATTGGGGAGGTCCTCCTGTGCGGCGCGGGCGTGGACGTAGGTGAGGAGCAGCGGGATCCAGTGGTCCCAGCATGAATCTGGCCCCTCCTCACCATGAATCCGGCGCCATGGATCCAGCTGGCTGCTCCGGATGAGGAGGCTGTACTAACGTCACAACGGACCTCATGTGTGTCCCAGGACGACACCACGGAGGATGCACCGCGCCGGATCTCCACCATCGGGCTCGGCTCCGGCCTCACAGGAAGGGGCGGCGGTGCCCGGGGCGGCCACCGGGGAGGGATGGTGATCGGCGGTGCCCGGGGCCGGCGTTTGCCCATGGTCGGACACGTGCTGCGCCAGTCATGGGGAGACTGCTCCCAATCTGGAGAAGAGAGGTGGTGAGACGAAGAGGTGTGGACGTGTGCTGCCAGTTTTGTGGAAGAAGAGAGTTGGGGGCGGCAGCTGTGGTGGAGCTAAGGCGGGTGTGGGCGTGAGAGCGAAGAGGAGTTAGGGTTGTGGATGGCATGCTGCACACGAGCTATGCGAACCGTCGATGGTTGGATCCATGGTGAAGGAAACGTTTGGTGCTAGACAGGCCTGCGAAAATTACGTCCGATCTTGAACTCCTGGCCCAAGCTAAAGTTACCGGACGTAATAGCACTTTCATATTTAACTTTTTTATTTTTTTTATTTTAAGTAAAGTTAATAATGTTCACAATTGCATTTGCAAGATTAACGCGATACTTCAATTTTATGGGTTGCACGTAAACTCGACTACATAAACAATGTTGTTTATGATTTTTCGAGGAGTTAGTTTAAGGCTGCTTCTTTGGGTCTGCGCACCCCCGGTTCAAGCCCTCATTGGCTTTTTTTCAGTATATCGGCAATAAACTTTAATAGATAAAAAAGAAACTGCAACAAGTAAGATAATGTGATCATAGCCAAGTGATTTGTCTGCTACTTGTGGTCTTCGAGATCCCGCGTTTGAGCCCGACGTTGGATGTTTTCTATGTTAATATTAATATTAAATTCTACGCATCCGCACCTGCCACTAGTGTTAATCTACGGCAACACAAGTGTGGCACTGAGATGGTTGGGTCAATGTAAGCGGGGTGTGCGAGCTAGGTGGGGGGCCACTTCTTTTTGGCCATAGACAGATCGACGGTACACCTCTTTTTAACTGTACACATGGGCCGGCTAAAATATGCGTGCAAGGTCGATGTAAGCTGGGCGCGGGAGCTCAATGTTAGTGGCACGCTCGAGCTAGGTGGGGCCCACTTATTTTTTTAGAGACAGATAGAGGGACGGTATACATATGTTTAGCGATAGACGGTTCAACGCTAAATATAAATACCTATAGCGACAGACACTAAATCGCTAAATGAGGATTTAGCGTCAGATGGTCTCTGAGTTATCTTTAGCGTCAGATCATCCATCGCCAAATATAATTTTTAGCGTCAGATGTCTGACAGTGAAGCGGTGTTGTGGTGTAGTATATGTTGTGCTCCCCCACCATCGATATCTGATGTGGGACTAAACCCCAACAATCTCCCCCATAGTCACACCTCAGGGTGCCTCCACCATAAATGTGACACTCGAGATTTTTTATCGGGTTTAGCTTTTTCTGACATCGGGTACGGGCTTTGATACGAATTGTTGGAACAGGTGGTAACCACAGAGTTCTTGATCTTGGAGCTAGCTTCAAGTTGGCCAAGCTCGTTATCACAAGCCTGCGCTCCCACAGGTCCCAGCACTGGTAGAGAACAGAGCTTTACTCCCGGTGACGAAGCCCCTCTAGTCCCAGTTCCCCACCCGAGAGCAAGCATCCGGGACTAAATGGGTCCTTTAGTCCCGGGTCAGGAACCGGGGCTAAAGGAGGACCTTTAGCCCCGGTGGGTAACACCAATCGGGACTAAAGCTGCCTCTCGACATGCCACGATGGCGGCACCTTTAGTCCCAGTTGGTAATCTGAACCAAGGACTAAAGGTTTTTTTTCTTTTTCTTTTCTTTTTATTTTTTGTTTTCTTTTCAAAATAGGTTTTCAGTAGTCGTATTATACGCTGCTAATTATACATTTATACGCAGCAGTATAGTATGTTTTGGTTCAAGCACAATGAACGTATTAAATCACACAATTCAAGCATAGAAAATATATATATATATATATATATATATATATATATATATGCATGCATACATCATATATATATTTACATGCATGCATGCATATGTGTATTTTACATTATATTATTTCATGTGCATATATTACAAAAGATTGCATTACAGTTGTTGTGATATATAACAAGTTTCCTCTCATCCTCTAGCTTGGCTTCCATGGCAGTGTTGGGTCAAAGTAGAACTCGCCCTTGGAATCGATGACCTGCTTATTAAAAAATCCGGCTATAGACTCTTGAATTGCTTTGATTTGGTCTTGCCGTATGACCTTTTCCTCCAACCATTTGAATTAAAGGAAAATAAATTAATATATATATATATATATATAAAGACATAGTAACACAATCAATAATAATAATTAAATGAATATATAGTGTATTTTTAACGTACTTTGAGTCTCTCTCTGTAGGAGTTCTTTGGGAGACCACATTGATAAACTTGCAAACATAGTAACCACAGTAGTTGTTCCCCTGTTCTCGCCTCGAGACACCACTTTACGAGAAAAAGATTTGTCATCCAATCTAGTGATCCGGTGAAAGCTATATGTTTAATTAATAAAGATGATGTGATTTAGGGACTTACTTTCAAAGGATTACATTCGGTGGCGCTTTGCATTTTCCCATGTGTTGCTTATCAATAAAGGTTTTCCAAACCTTTGCTTAAAAAAAAAAAATTTGCCACGTCATCAGATATAGTTAATCATCATGTTTGTGTGTATATATAGTTGCTAGAGATACCAAAATTACCTCTGGATAATATCTATCATATTTTGATAGTCTTGTTGTGGTTTTCTCATCGAGTCATAGATTATCTAGTGACTTTTCACCAGATCAATGTCCATCAATATCCAGTGATTGCTGCATGTGTTTATAGGATATAACGCATAACACTCATTAATTAACTAGAATCAACATATGAGCCATTAAGGATGATCGACATTATTAACACTCACTTAAAGTTGTAGGGAAAGAGTATAACCTTCTTGTGGCGTTGGTTCACTAAGAAGTTCATGACGTTACTCTCTGACTCAGACTTTCAATTAGTCTTTGGAGTAACTGGGTCTTTGAATACTATATGGGGATCAACAAAACCAATTTCATTCTGACCTACCTTTACGAGCTCTCATTGTAAATCTGCATATATATAGTACTTGTTAGGATAATTTATATGCATATACAAATATATGATGAGTTTAATAATAGATCGAAAGAATTATTACTTACAGGCAATAGCAGCTAATGATAGCTTTATCCAGAGAGGTCAGGTGGCATAGTTGATAAAATTCTGCAAAGTCAACATACATAACATCATCGCCACGGAACCAATGTTTGTCTCTAATTCTGACACCAACGCAGCTGTCTCCACCAGTAGACGCCTACATGTACCACTTGTTTAGCAGGTACATTTGCGTCCCCAGATCAGATAAGGCTTGAGGGTTGTATAGACTCTGGCCTAGTATAAATTTTTTCTTCCAAATATCAACCTCCGCCGCACTCTCAATGTTTCCATCACCAAACATCTGGTAAAGGTCAAGACCAGCCTCATCAATAAATTTACCAAGGTGATCCAAATCGACATCCGGAGGTATGTTTGCCTGATGCATTAATCCTAAATTCGAACCATATTCATTACCAACAACTAGCGGGGGGACTAATTGGTGCGATTGTTGTCCGAGTTGGGCAACTCCTTTGCCTGCCCGCTTCTTTTTCTGTGCCGCCTCAATTGACTTGGTGAGAGTGCGGTCATAGTCCGTTAACGTTGATTTGGACGGCTTACGAGATTCTCATTGTTGTTGCTGGTAAGAAGCCACCTTTTTCTTAGAATATCCGGAGCTACGAAGAATCACGGTTTCTCGGGTTTCTCCTTGCTTCTTGATTCTTTTTAAGTTTGTCATAGAATCTGGACAAATCTTTTTTATATGCATCAGTTCCTTCTTCCTTCTCTTCAGATATTATTTTGGGAATAACCCTTGGTTTCACAGTGGCTTTCTTTGCCGGCGGGGACTGGTTCTTCGTTTGCGGGGCTGGCCTCTTGCTAGCACTTGGCTTCTTGGTAGGCGGGGGCGGGGGAGGCGTTGGAGACCTCCTTGGAGGTGGCGGCTGCGGCGTTGGAGACCTCCTTGGAGATGGTGTGGATGCAGCCTCGCCTTCCAACACAATGTCATCGTACTGAGCACTATGATGATCTGGCGATTGAACAATTGGATTTAGGTTGGGGGAGGATCTGCTACAAAAAAGGAATGACATATTATTATGAGCAGATTGTTAATTATTTAAGCCAATATAAATTAATGATATAGTGTTTTCATCCGCACCTATGGTGAGGTAGTTCAGGAGGAGGTGGAGCCGACATCCCAGGAATGATGATGTAGCGCTTGCGCCATAGAATAAATGTCTTCTCTGCTTCTCCTAGAGTCTTCTCGCCATCACCTCCAGGAATGTCAAGAAGCAAATCACTAAAACCTTTTTCAGCTTTATCTACCGAGATGGTAGCATATCCTTCTTGGATTATATACCCATGAATCCTTGGTGTCTTGGTTCGGTCGATAGGATTAACAAGACCGATAGCCACCTTGATTGTGGAATTCCCCTTCGGAATGTGTAGCTCACACGATGTACAAGGTTCAGTGACGTCATCCATAGGGAAGCGCAGTCCTGTGTCCCCTTGATTTGGTATCTCCGTGGAAGCGCAGCTGCTTTTCAACTGAACAGATTGGCTAATGTTGTTTCCTGGCTCTGATGCCTGCTTGCTTGCACTCACTGCTATTTGCACTTGCCTTCTGATTTCCTCCTGCATTCTCGCTTCAAGGTTTTTTTCCCGCTGCTGTGCTTCACGCACCGCTTCCTCCAACCTCTGGAGCCGCTGTGCCTCTTCTTCCTTCTTTCTCTGGCGGCTTCTGTAGGAAGGTCTGTCCTGAGGGAATCCATGCTCCCACGAGACACTTCCTTTGCCTCTAGTTCGGCCACCATGTTCAATAGTCCCGATGGCGTATGTCAGCTCATCCTTCTCTCTGTTGGGCCTGAAGGCACCACTAGCAGTAGCTCTCTGAGCATAAAACAATCTTTCTGCTGCTTCTTGCAGTCTTGCACCATAAATGCACTTCCCTGTCTCCTGGTCCAGTGTTCCCCCATGAGCGAAAAACCAATTCTTTACACGCTCTCCC